CGGCCTTCCCACCTGCTGCCTCACACAGCTTGAGCTGAAATTCTCATTTTCACGAAGGACCTATGTGAGATAACATTTAGTGTAATGAGAAAATCAGTTGTTTCTGCCTCCTCATTCCCTGCAGACCTTGCCCTGGAGCAGAGCTATCCTACACTTGAGCTATCCCATGCTGCTCTCTGTGCTGCTTCCCAGTTTTTTGTTTGGAAGCTGGGATTAACAAAACCCCCAGTAAATCTCTTGGTGACAGTGCAGCCGCGATGGTGGCAGCCCTGTCCTGACTGATGAGGAGGGGACTCGTGCCCTCTTGTGGAAGCTTGTCCCTGTCCCTGCGGCCACGGTCCACTGCAAGGGAGGAGGAGGAGCAGGCATGCTTCATCACTGCATCCTGCCCGTGCAGATAAAGCCCTCGCTGGGATTAGCAAGTTGAGTCTTCAAAGCATCGCGTTATCTCCCGAATCCTCCCCCTCTTGCCCTGCTTAGGATTCAAGGCTGGGGTGGGAGGTTTGCGCAGGCACTGCAGTCTCCGTGGGCTGGACAAAATCCTCATTTCTGGAGAGAATTCAAGCTTGGGACAGATGTAAGATCAAGTGAAAGCAAAACCTCTCTGCCCAGCTGATGAAGGCCCTCAGGCATTTCATCCCCTCGCAGCTCCACGTGGCCTCAATGAAGTGGTCTTCATCTGCCAAGACATTGTAAGCGCAGGGCACTGAGGCTTGGGGTGGGAGAACCGCTGTGGGACTGAGCATAAATTTCCTGCCTTAGGTGTGGTTCAGCCACGCAAAGTCGGGTTTGATCCGTGAGCTCTCCGCAGAGCAGTCCCGCTTTTCTGCACGGTTAATGGGATTAAAAGAGGAGTGAGAGGTGCAATTCCCTCCCAGCCAAGGAGAGAAATCCTACTGATGGCCTGTTGTCTTGTCCAGTGACAAAGATCAGGGTTTCACTGTCTGAAATCAGGATTTCATTGTCAAAGTTGCATTTCCCACTAGCATAGTGCTGCTCCATAGACCGGGACACCCCAGACCCAGCAGCTGGAGCTCCTCCTCGGAGCTGCCTCTTGCCTCTTCATGGCATGGGCCATCCAGCATCAGCATTGCCTGAAGTCTCAGTGACGTTTTTGGCTTTCTGAAAGCCAAACCCTTCCTCACCGGGAGAACCAGGCTGGAAGCCTTGAGCCTGGGGAGGACGTCAACCGGTCGTAGGCAGAAGGGTGCTGCTGTACAGGGAAGTGTCCTGCACAGGGCTCTTGTCATCACCAGGTGACAGGCTTTACCTGTCACCTCAAACGTTTGGCTGTGAGAAGGGGCCAGAGCAGAAGATCTGGGCTCTGTGTGTTTTACATCCTGTAATTTTTCGTGTCCTACATGATTTTTTACATCCTGGCTCAAACTGGTCATATTCCTTTTTAAGTCAGCCCTCAGTTAAATTCTTTCATACCTGAAACCAAGAGTGAGCATCCCCAGAGCAGCTTTCAGATCTTGAATTTGTGGCTTTTCTGAATTTCAGACCCGATTTAATGTCTCTTCTTGACCTGTAGCCCCTGTGCTCACCCCAGTCCCACCCCAGACATGTCCCGTGAGTGCGGATGTTTGCCCGGGTGCATTTATCCCTGCGTCGTCTCCCATTACCTCTCCCTTAGCAGTGCTATTTTGGTGTGTGGCTTTTCTCACCGCTGCCAAAGCACTCGGGCTCCAAAGCCCTGAGACGGCAAATGAAATCCCAGCAGGCAGCGCATCCGAATGCGTCAGCGAGAAGAGCCTTCCCCGCCGTGCTCAGCGTGAGGCCGCGGCCTTGAGCGAGCGGGGAGAGCCCTGCCAGCGCTGAACGAAGACAGGCCCCTGTGACTTACTGCCTTTTGTGTCATTCCAGGAGAAGCAGAAGCTGCTGGATGAAATCGAAGACCTCACTGTGCAGCTCGCGGAGGAGCAGGAGAAAAAGAGGAAGATGGGCGACAAGCTGAGTCAGGAGAGGCACCAGTTTCAGAAGGAGAAGGAGTCGACGCAGGAGGTAAGTAGAGTCGAGGCTGCCTGTCACAGCCCTGTCTTGCTAGTCCCCCAAATTAAGGCCCTGTCGGGAAGCTGGCTTTGGCAGCCTCTCCAAAAAAAATACATGTAACTGAAGCTTTTTGTCCTGCCTGGGCAGAGAAAGGTACAGCAGCTTAAATACATAACGATGATTACTTTAGCCTGCATTAAAATCCAGTGGGGCTGTGCCACCCGCACCCATTTCTTTTCTCCGTTGAAGATGGGGTGACAGAAGCACAGTGAGGATGGCACATAGGGACAGAAAGTGGGAGGGGAGGGCAAAAAACACAGTCCTCCCTGCCCAGCCCTTTCCAGGCATCTCTGGGAATTGCAGCTGGAGGCTCAAATGGGGCTTGCCAAAGGAGCTTTGGGCCTCAAAGTGGAAATTATTGTCGTCGCAGTGACGCTGAGAGCTCTTGGGTGGAACGGGGATTCCCAGAGCTGTGGCGGGAGCTCCAACAAAGTCCTTCCAGGGTTGCTCTCACGTATCAAAGTAGCTCTCTCTTCACTGTTTGCTAGAGGTGTGGGGAAGGAAGGGGAAGCCATGTGCACCCCCCGGAAAGGATCTGTTAATCCAGCTCAGCAATTGACAGGGTTGCTCCCAGCTGGGGGACAGCCCATCCGTCACACCAGCCATCACCAGTATGAGCTGCCGGCCTTGCAGGGGATGCGGCACTGGGTTGTCCTCTTCCCTTGTGCCACAGCTCATCGAGGACCTCAGGAAGCAGCTGGAGCACTTGCAGCTCTTCAAACTGGAAGCTGAGCAGCGGAGGGGCAGGAGCAGCAGCATGGGGCTCCAGGAGTACAACAGCAGGACGCGGGAGACAGAGCTGGAGCAAGAGATCAAGCAGCTCAAGCAGGTAGGCAGGGCTGGGCAGGGAGGGGACCGTTGTCTGAGCTGCTCAGGCTGCAAAAGGGGGTGATGATTCCCTCGCACTCAGCCAGGGATTGGGAGGCTCCCTCTCAAGATGACCATGGCCCCCTGCTTCCTGCCCCTCCTGTCCTGAGACAGGAGAAGTTGGCTTCTTCTGACCAGTCAGGAGCCCCCGCTCTGTGCTGTGTGCCCTGGCTCTCCCCAGCGTATCCCGTGTTCCCAGAGGTTCTCCAGGCCCTGTTGAGTCTGCATCAGGAGACCACACGCTGTTCACAGCACGGTGCGAGCTGCTGGTTAGGACAAAAGCCCCGGCATTCCCCGGCTGCATCTGCTCTGAGGGCACCACGTGCTTCAGCAGCATCTGGTCTATCTGTTGTGAACAGGATAACAGGAACCTGAAGGAGCAGAACGATGAACTGAATGGGCAGATCATTAACTTGAGCATCCAGGGAGCCAAGAACCTCTTCTCAGCCTCCTTCTCTGAATCCCTGGCAGCAGAGATCAGCTCAGTCTCCAGAGACGAGGTACGTGCCACAGGGTACTCCTTGAGTCAAACCGCATCTCCCCTGCTCTCAGCCGACCGAGGGCCCTGTCTGTGGTACATCTCACTCCCTAAATTCACTTGAAAGCTGTCGTGAGCAAAGAGATACCCACACAACTATTTGAAGAGCTGGCAGGACTGACCCTGCCTGCCAGCCCTCCTTCCTGGGAACAGAAGTTGCTCCCTCCCAGTTTGCTGGTATTGGTGGCTTTGGTTTGCCCGCCCTGTGACAGCCTTCCTCTTCCTGGGACGGACCAGGGTGTGTCGGTTGGTCTGTCTGTAGCTGTTTTAGACCACAGAGAGCTGGGACATCAACCCCAGAGATCTTGTTTGCTCTGGCACATGTTCTCCCTGCTCTGTGGCTCTACCCCAGATACCAGTGGTGCGAGCCCACGTAAGCATCGGAATTAAATTTTTGAGACCCCCAAGAAGTGGGGAAACACAGCTGGGCATGAGGGCGATGAGATGCAGATTTCTCCAAGGTCCCATCTGGCTGAGACCTTGAGGAAGGGCGTGAGTAAGCAGAGCCAGCAGCTGAGGGTGTTTTCCCCAGGCCACTTACACGTGGTGGGGAACATCTCAGGCCACAATGAAGAAGCAGAGGGAAACCTCCATGGGTGCCCAGAGCCACGAGAAATCTCGCTTCTGTCCCTGGGCAGCGGCAGGCAGTCCCTCACTCCCTTTCTCCTTCCCTTTTGCAGCTCATGGAAGCAATTCAAAAGCAAGAGGAGATCAACTTCCGTCTGCAGGATTACATCGACAGAATCATCGTGGCCATCATGGAGACGAACCCCTCCATCCTGGAAGTGAAGTAAGGGCGGCCAAGAGCTGCCGGCTGCGTGCTCGTCGATGGGTGTGGATTTGGTGCTCTGAGAGGATAAAGAGGGACTCCAAAACGTCTTTGCTCTTGATGAAGGCACAAGGAAGCATCGCGTCGGGTCGGTGGGTGAATTACCCAGCGGACCAGGGAAAAAGAAAACCAGCAAGCGAGGCTTTGTTGCCTGACTCCGTTATTTCGAAGCCCTTCTGGTTCAGAGGGGTGAAAGGGAACCTGGAGAAGGAACACAGGCAACGGACAGCTGGAGGAAGCTACCCATGAAGCTGGGAACTGCCCCGACAGCGGCCTCAGGGGTGCGAACAGGAGCTTCCATCACGAGGGCTGTGAGGAGAGGGTGTCTCTGAACCGTGGGATAAGGGGAAGGGAGAAGGAAGCAGCGGCGCTTGACGTTTTTCCCTTGCTGCCCTGCCCAGCCCAAGTATCTGCTTTGCCAAAGTGTCCCTGACACACTCACTCACTGGGGCAGATCTGGGAAAGAGCGAAACGTGTCCCGGACTTGTAGAGGGTTTGTTTTGGTTTTGTTTTGGGTTTTTTGTTTTGTTTTGTTTTTAATTAACTTAATGCAAATGTCCTCATGCAGCTGATGCAGTTAATCCTTGCCCTGCCGCTTCTGCTGGGGAAGGGGTTGCGTGCAGAGAGCTCGCCAGCTCCGCTCCCACT